ATTTCAAGAGCTATAGCGCTCATTTATAACAATTTTTGGTCATTTAAACGAAATGGCAAATAATTTTACAATGGCCAAAGTTCACAATTCCGTGAGATATAACCCACTCCATTTTTAGGTTTTTCAACCTATTAGCAAATAATTTTACAGAGGTCAAAATTTACGATTTCATGAGCATTAATCCATGATTTTTTTACCATTTTTTATCATTTCAATCTATCAAAAAATAATTTCATAGAGGCCAAAATTTATGATTTTATGAGTTACTACCCATAAATTTTGACTATTTTTGTTGTTTTGACCCATAGTCAAATAATTTTGTAGTAGTTAAAATTTATGATTTCTTGAGTTATATGACTCATGATTTTTTTGGCATTTTTTTGTAATTTGGCCCCTTAACCAAATAATTTTGATGTGGCCAAAATTCACTATTTAATAAACTTTAACCATAATTTTTGCTCATTTTTAATCATTTCGACTCCTTTGAAAATAATTTCATGGTAGCCAAAGTTCATGATTTTATGAGCTATAAGCCACAATTATTGTCATTTTTAGTCATTCGCCTCATTCACAAATAATTATGTGGAGTCCAAATTTAGTAATTTCATGAGCTATAACCCATGATATTTCTACAATTTCTACTTGATTCAACCCGCTTACAATTTCATGAGCTATATATCCCATGATTTTTTGCCATTTTTGAAATCTGACTCATTGGAAAATAATTTTGCGAAGACCAAAATTTAAGATTTCGTGAGCTATATAACCCATGATTTTGGTTTTTTTTTTCATATTGTCCTGTTGGAAAATAATATCACGAAGACCAAAATTTATGATTTTAGGAGCGATAACCATAAATTTTGGCCATTTTAGTTAGTTTCACTCAATGACAAATAATTTTACGACGGCCAAAATTCATGATTTTATGAGATTTAATGCACAATTATTGGCCATTTTAAGATATTTTGACTCATTGGCAAACAATTACATGGAGGATAATATGCATGATTTTGTGATTTATAACTAAATTTTTTGGCAATTTTTAGTCATTTTGAGTTATTAGCAAATAATTTCTTAGAGTCTAAACTTTGCGATTTTGTGAGCTATAACCCATAATTTTTTGCCGATTACTGTTATTTCGATCCATTTATAAATAATTTTACAGAGGCCAAAATTCATGATTTTATGAGCTATGACCCACAATTTTTGGTCATTTTTAGTCGTTTTCACCCGTTGTTAATGATTTTGCGGAGACTAAATTTCACAATTTCATGAGCTATAACTCATAATTGATAGCCATTTCTAATCATTTTGATCTGTTGTTAAATATTTTTCGGCAACCAATTGTCATGATTTTATTAGCTATAATCTAGGAATTTTTTACCATTTTTAATCATTTTGACCAATTGTCAAATAAATTTATGGTGGCCAAAATTCATGATTTTGTGAGCCATAACCTACAATTTTGCCTATTTTTATTCATTTCGACAAGTTGTTAGATAATTTTGTGGTTTCCAAAATTCACAATTTTGTAAAAACAACTTACAATTATAGGCCATTTTAGTTGTTTTGCCTTCATTGGTAAAAAAAATTACAGTAGCTAAAATTCAGGATTTCATGAGCTATAATGTATATTATTGGCAACTTTAATCATTTTGACACATTAGCAAATAATATTGTGAAGGGTAAAATTTGTGATTTCATGAGCTACAACCTACAATTTTTGGCCATTTTAGTCATTTTTGCCCCTTGATAAAAAATTTCGCGCTAGCCAAAATTTATGATTACATGAGCTTTAACCAATAATTGTTGCTATATTTAATCATTTTGATATATTGGCAAATAATTTCATGACTATGTGGACTATAACTAATGATTTTTGGCCATTTTTAGTCATTTCAACCAATTGGTAAGTAAATTTATGGTAGTCAAAACTCACAATTTCATTAGCAGACCTACAATTATAATCCATTTCTAGCCATTTCGACTCATTGGCAAATAGTTTTACTTAGGCAAAAATTCACATTTTCATGGGATATAATTCACGATTTTATCCATTTTTTAGCCGTTTCTACCTGTAGACAACTAATTTTATGGAGGGTAAAATTCACGATTTAGTGAGCTATATCCCATGATTTTTTAATTTTTTTAACCAATTAATAAATAATTCCGCAGACATCAAAATTAACAAAACCATGAGTATAATGCATGATTTTAGCAAAAATTCTCGATTTTATGAGTTATAACTATATATTTTAGTCATTTTGATTCATTGACAATTAATTTTGTTGTGGCCAAAATTCACGACTTTATGAGCTATAGCCCGTGATCATTGGCCATATTTAGTGTTTCAGGTTCTTTGAATTGTAATTGACACAGATTACAATAAAAGAAAATATAGTGAAATAAAAAAAAATTATTTTTTCTTGGGGTTCTTTTCTGTGTGTCGGTGGAGTGTCGATCTTGTACTCCGTTGACTCGCCGACTATGACGATGGGTCTTTTTGCCGTTGATGAGGATCAGATCGCTTAGAAGTTAGCTCGGTCTACTCTTAGCAATACCTCCGATATGTCTCCGCGCATGTGCATTTGTATGTGTCTCTAGATGTCTCTATCTATCTCCAACTGCAAAGTGGATGATCCTCTCTCCTTTTAAAGGCTAAAAGAGAGAGAGAGTGGATGATCCTCTCTCCTTTTAAAGGCTAAAAGAGAGAGAGAGAGAGAGAGAGAGAGAGAGAGAGAGAGAGAGAGAGAGTTAATGGTCCCCTTAAATATGGATTAAATGGTCATTAAATTAGGAGTTAGCGGGGAGTGGTTATTCCCCAAAAATAGTTTTGAAACGGCTATTTGGGTGAATTTCACAGGCTTGGCAGAGATCGCTGAAGATGTGGGCGAAGGTTGCTACGAATGTGGGCAAGGGTCGCTTCTAACGTGGGCACGTCTTCTTCGAAAGTGGATGAGTTGGTCCATGTGGGCGAAGTTTGTTAGTTGGCGAACTTCACCTATGAGTTCGAATTTAGCTCAGAATTCGACTCTACGCTTGGCCAACTGATGCCACCTTTTGACTTGATCTGAAGTGTGCTGTGTGGGGCAACTCGTGTCTCACTTGGTCGAATTGATATGAGTTGCTTGGCGAGGTTCGTTTCAATCATCAAGTGATATTTACTGCAGCTTGTTGTGGGCTTGACTTTGGGCCCATTCGAAGTGTTTAGCCCATGGGTGTTCATTTTTTAGATCTTCAGTGAAAATATATTTTGACTGTCTACAATCCCCCTCCCCCAAAGTTTTTAAAATCCTGAGTTTCAATTTGTAGCTAGGATTTGAAATACTTTGGGTAGATTAGCCAGAGATCTAGTGTTGAACGTGACTTGAGTTGTCTTGGTTTGGTGAAAACTTGCCTTCATCTGCCTTTTTGGTTGCTAGAGGTGTAGTATTAAACATAGATTATTACCATTTCTAGTCTTTCTAAAACAGTGAAAAATAATTTCATAAAGGCAAAAATTCATGATTTCATGAGCTATAACCCATAATTTTTGCCCATTTTTAATCATTTCAAGCCACTTGAAGTAAGTTGAAGAGGCCAAAAATTCACATTTTCTTGAGCTACGACCCATGTTTTCTGGAAATTTTTTGTTATTTCTACTCACAAGCAAATAATTTCATGGAGTCAAAGATTAAGGACTTCATGAGCTATAACGCGTGATTTTTTGCTAATTTTAATAGTTTCGACTGAGTGGAAAATAATATCGTATAAGGCTAAAATTCATGTTTTCATGTGCTATAACCAATGATTTTTTTACTATTTTTAATCAAACCGATCCATTGGTGAATAATCTTGTGGACGCCAAAATTCATATTTTCATTAGTAATAACACATGATTTTTGGAAAATTTTAATTGTTTCTACTCAATGATAAATAATTTCACATAGTTAAAAAGTCAAGATTTCTTAACGATAACGCATAATTTTTTGCTATTTTTAGTTGTTCTGATCCAGTGGTAATATAATCTCATGAATGTTAAAAGTTACATTTTCATGAGCAATAACCCATAATTTTTTTTTACCATTTTTAGTTGTTTAGACTAATTGGTGAATACTTTCACAAAAGAAAAAACTCACATTTTCGTGAGCTATAACCCTTGTTTTTTGACTATTTTTATCATTTTGAGCCCTTAGCAAATAATTTCAGCATCCAGATGGCGCCTTATGATGCTTTATATGAAAGAAAATGTAGATCTCCTACTTGTTGGGATGACTTGGTAGAGCGACGTCTGCTAGGTCCTGAGATAATAGTGCAGACAGTAGAAAAGATAAAGATGATACGGTATCGCCTTAATTCAGCTCAGGATAGGCAGAAAAATTAGGCTGATGCTAAGAGGACACATCTACAGTTCCAGGTTGGAGAGCATGTCTTCCTGAGAATATCCCCAACCAGAGGAGTTATCAGATTTGGCAGCCGCGAGAAGCTTAGCCCACGTTTGGTCCATTCGAGATATTAGAGAGGGTAGGAGAGGTGGCATACAGGCTACCTACGCCTCCATCATTAGAGGGAGTGCATGATGTGTTCCATGTATCACAGCTTCGACGATATGTGCGAGATGAGACCCACGTCCTAGACATTGCAGAGCTTCAGATTGGGACAAATCTATCATATGAGGAGAGACCAATGGAGATTTTTGGACAGATAGGAGAAGATCCTCAAGAATAGGACTATCCCTCTAGTATTGGTATCCTGGGGGACACCGTGGACCCGGTGAGGCAACATGGGAGCAAGAGGACGATATTCGTCAGCGCTACCCACATCTCTTTGCAACGGTAACATCTAGATCTTCCTATGCTTGGATTAAATTTTGAGGACAAAATTTCTTTTTAAGGTGGTCAAATGTAATAACTGAGAATTCTAGCATACGTAATATGTTACAAGGATAATTTCTTTTATGTAACATATTTTAGAATCCACAATTTTTTCCCCTCTTAGTTTTTTTGGCCCAATTGGTTTTTTTATAGAAAGCCTTTTATCCTTATAGCCCACCCTTACTTGAATTTGAACAAAACCTTATCCTAATATCCCTCAAAATAAAATATCCTACTGCACCTCCACCTCTTCCGTAAATTTTTCTCACGGAAGGAATCATGGGATTTTTCTTCTCCATGCGGTTTTTCCCTCAACCAACTCCTCCAAATCTTTCACTAGAAAAATCTCTAAACACATGATCTTTCAAAAAAGGGCTTATCCTTTTCCTCAATCTTCTTCCCAAAACATATGGAGAAAAAAAAGAGGGCAGAACCGAAAAAAAAATCAAATCAAAGGATCGGTTACTCAAGGAGAAGGTACGGATAGGGATTTCAAATTTCAGAGTTTAATTATTATTTTTGGCAAGCATTTCTTATCCTTTAACTCTTTTATTTTCATGATCTCCTTATCTAAATACTCGTATTTCTTCGTAGATAATCATGAGGAATAGATTGTAGTTAGTTTTTAGATATTTTTTATTACGATATTGTAGGAAAATTCTTGACACCTTATGCAAGCATTTCTTAACCTAAATTCTTTTATTTTCATGAGTACCTTATCAAATTGCTAGTATTCTCCTCCTAGAGTTATGACAATTAATTTGTAGATAGTTTTTATTACATTTTTTTTCAAAACTATTTTATTTCGGTCAGTATAGTTTTGTCAAAAAATAATAATAAAAATAAAAGTAATTTTAAAGATTTCTATTTTTTCAAGATTATAGTTATAACAGAGAATAGTTTTAATTATTTACTGCAGTTAATTTTTCACAAAGTAGTGGTTGGAGTTGTGATTAGGTGACTTGGTTATTAGCTCTTAGATCTTGGGTTTGAATCATTTACCATTCATTTTTTTCAAAGCCATTTGGGTCTGTTGTGAACTCAAACCCAACCCAGTTAGGATCCAATATCAAATTTCAAACCAGTTTGGGTTTATAATTCAATTTACAGACCTGTTTGACCTAGTTAGGATCTAATATCAAATTTTAGACCCGTTTGGATTTATAATTCAAATTATAGACCCATTTGACCCAGTTAGGATCCAATATCAAATTCCAAACCCATTTGCTTCGCTTCGGCCAATGGTGTTGTTTGAAGCTTTCTTTCTAAGGAACCAAGGGAGGTGGGTAAGGCAAGCTATAAAGATGTTCCACAAACATCTTACTTGAAGCTCTGTTCCGAGTGCACTAAGCGAAGAGGCAACTCGAGGACCTACCAATAAGGTGCCGGCAGTACCTAGCCAGCTGAACAAGCATCTTCCAATGGCTCTTTTCCCAAACACATCCCTGGATAAGGGGTCTCTCACTCTGCCTTCTAAATGTCTGTTTCCACAAACTGTTTCTTTAGTGGTGTCATTTTCAACTAAAATAACAAATGATAGGATCAAACCCGCCTTACAACTTGTTGATCTTTTTTTTTCTGACACTAAATAATTGTGTTATTTATTTACCTTTTCCTTTTTGATTAGTGAAGATAAGTCATTCGATGATGTGTTTGAATACTTGATGCCATGTTTGATCACCTAAAGACATTTAATAGGGTCGATTGTGCATGAAGACGACTTCCGTCAAAATATGATTCATAAGCGTGCTATCATAGCATGGCTATACTCTTGACATTGATATCCCGGAGTGAGGAGTTTCTCTTGATTATTTACTATTATATAATAGCATCAACCAGATGATACATTCATCTTGATTGGACATGTTTTGGTCGCGATTATTTTTCATAGTTTTACGGAAGTTGTTCCACAAAAACTCTGTGGTTAGTGAATAATATTTCATACACAACCACTTAAAATCAAATAGATAAATGTGGGTTTTGTAAAGTGGAATTGTACGGAGAATATAACGTGTATATAAGCGGGCTCATGAGCATTCTTGATATTCTGAATTATATATAAGGGCAAGGGTCAATACTTAACTTGAAGCCGTGTTCCCGGGACGGTTTGCGGGAACCCAATTTATATACATGATACTATTCTACTCTAATTCAAATAACATGTAAAATAATAGTAATGCGCTTGTATGCTTTGTGATAGACTTATTCTTAATATCTACAAGTAGCATTTTTTTAGTCACCTTTCATTTAGATTTCATCTTTTCTTGATACATGTCATATTCATTTTACATGCTTGTTGGGAGTTTTCTAACTCCCATGAGGTTTGCGTGCCCCAGACTCGGGGACCATTCTTTCTTTGCAGAACCGAGAGTATTTCGAGGAGCAGGCTCAGCGGCACTGATCACTGGTTATCCTATCAATTCTCCAGTTTATTTGTCTTAGGTAGTTATTTTGACTGAGACTTTTCCTGTAACCACATGTGGTTCTCCAGACTATGATATATTTTTTCTTTTTTCCTACTTTGGATAGTTGTGGACTTGTAGTAGAACTTTGTCTTTTCAGAGATTTCTTTATCTATCTATTTTCTCTGTTACCTTAGTTAGATGCTCTATATTGTAGTTCTTTTTGGCAATATATTTGTATACAGGATGGTCTAGAGGCGTTAATGTGACTGTATGGTTGCATTGCAGGCCGATTCACGTTCCAAACCATTATGCTTTGGTACCGAGGTGTGACAACCCATAATTTTTTATCATTTCTAGTCATTTCAACCTATTGGCAAATAATTTTACAAAGGCCAAAATTCACAACGTTATGATCTATATCCCATGACTTTTGCTTGCTTTTTAAACTTGACCTATTGGCAAATAATTGCGTGTACATCACAATTCACAATATTATAACCCACGGTTTTTGCCTTTTTGTCATCTTGAACTCCTCGCAAATAATTTAATGAAGACCAAAATTCTCAATTTCATGAGCTATAATTATAATTTTGCCATTTTTAGTCATTTTTACACGTTGACAAATAATTTTGAGAAGCTCAAAATTCAAGATTTCATGAGCCATCAACCACGATTTCTGACCATTTTAAGTCATGTTGGCATGTTGACAAATAATTTTGCACAGACTAAATTCCATGATTCTATGAGCTACAACCCCACGATCTTTTTGCCATTTTCAGTTATTTCAACAGGATAACAAAAAATGTTGCGGGTCAAAATTAAAGATTTCATGAGCTATAACCTACAACTTTTGGCCGATTTAGTCATTTCCACTTGTATTCAAATAATTTCACAGCAACTAAAATCACAATATTGTGAGCCATAACCATAACTCACAAATTTTAGCCATCTTTAATCATTTCGATCCCTTGGCAAACAATGTCACGAAGGGCAAAATCTACTATTACATGAGCTAAAGCCCATGATTATTGGTCATTTTTAATCATTTTGAGCCATTAGCAAATAATTTCGTAGAACTCAAACTTTACGATTTAATGAACTATAACCTATGATTTTTTATTATTTTTAGTCATTTTAACCCATTGCAGAAAAATTTCACAAAAGTCAAAATTCACGATTTCATGAGCTATAGCTCATAGTATTTGGTTATTTTTCAATCCAACCCATTAGCACATAATTTCACAAAGACTAACATTCACGAGTTGATGAGCTATAATCCATGATTATTGATCATATTTAGTTGTTTGGATCCATTAATAAATAATTTCTCAATGATGTATGTCATGTTTTTTTTTCATGTCAACCTGATGGCAAATACTTTTTTGGATGTCAAAATTCACTATTTCATGACCCAATGATTTTATCATTTTTCATTCATTTCAACTCATTTTTCATTCAATTTCAAAGTTCAAGTTTCATTTCATGAGTTATTAGACACAAATTTTGTTCATTTTCCATTCATTTCAACTCAATGGTTTGGTCACAATGACACCATGGTAAATAAATTAGAATAATTCAAAATAAACGATTTCATAAGCTATAATTCATGGGTTTTTTTGCTTCATTTCAACATAAAAAATTTGAGCAAATCTAAAAATTCACGAGTTCATAAGCTATAACCCATAATTTTTATTCATTTGACCGAAAGGCAATTATTTAAGCTACTTTCAAATTTCACAATTTCATGAGCTATATTCTACGATTTTTTCTCCATTTTTCTTCTTATCAAACTAAAAGTAAATACTTAGACAAAGTTAGAAATTCATTATTTCAAACCCTATAAACCACTAGTTTTGTGCATTTTAATTTGTTCATTTCGACCCAATGACAATTAATCAAATGGAGTTAAAATTTCATGTTTCATGCATTATAAGAGACGGATATTGACTGTTTTTGTTTGCCTTAAATGACAAATAAATTTGAGTTGTTAAAAATTAACAATTACGTGAGCTATATGCCACGAGTTTTGTTCTTTTTCTTTTTTTTTCCTTTTTGTATTAAACTACCAAAGTTTAAAATTCTTAATTCCATGAGCTATAACTCATGTTTTCTGACCATTTTCATTGGTTTTGACTATATGGCAAATAATTTTGCGAAATTAAAACTCTAAGATTTTATGCACCCATGATTTTTGTCAATTTTCATTCGTCTCGGCCAAATAAGAAACAATTAACCAAAGTTTAAAATTCACGATTTTCATGAGCTTTAACACATGATTTTTTTTTCATTTTAGTTTGTTTTGACCGAAAAGAAAATTATTACATGGAGTTCAGCGAGCACATTTTATGAGCTATAACCCACGATTTTGTTTCAGTTTCATTTATTTCAAACCGAATAACAAATGATTCGTGGATTTCAAAATTAACAGCTTCATGAGCTATAACTGATGGCTTTTCTCCATTTCATTCCTTTCAACCCAATATCAATAAACTAAGTAGTGTCAAAATGCACGATTTTATAACTTATAAGACAATTTTTATCCATTTTTTATTCATTTTGACCTAACGATAATTAATTAAACAATTAAAATTTTATGATTTCTTGCATTATAATACATGAATATTGTCCATTTTCATTCATTTTAACCCAGTGATAAAAAAAAATTGGTGTAGTTAAAAGTTAATGATTAAGTGAGATATATGCTAAAACCTTTGTACATTTTTTTGTATTAAACTAATGCCATACTTTGACAGGGTTCAAAATTCTAGATTTTATTAGCTATAATTCATGATTTTTGCTCATTTTTATTTGCTTGGACTCAACGGCAAATAAATGATGGTTTTTTCTATTTTCATTCATTTCAACCAAATAGCAAATATTAACAAAAGTTCAAAATACACGATCTACACGGGTTATAACCCACTATTTTTATTCATTTTAGTTCATTCTAACCAAATTTGAAATAATTTTGCGAAGTTTAAAATTCACGATTTTCATGAGCTATAACCCACTGTTTTTGTTGATTTTTGTTCATTTCGGCCAAATTGTAAATAATTATATGGAGTTCAAAAATCACGATTTCATGAGCTATAATGCATTATTTTATCAATTTCATCCATTTTAACTCGATGACAATTAATTAAACAAAATCAAATTTTCATGATTTCATAAACTATATAAGCCACAAATTTTGTTTCATTTCACCCTAATGGTAAATAAATTAGCGGAATTCAAAATTCATGATTTGATGAACCATAACTCATAGTTTTCATTCATTTTAACCTAATGGAAAATAATTTAGCGAATAAAAAAATTTATGATTTCATGAGCTATAACTCACGATTTTCTTCATTTTCATTCATTTCGACCAAAAGGCAATTATTTGAGCTGCATTCAAATTTTCTAATTTTGTGAGCTATAAGTCATGATTTTTTCCATTTTTGTTAAATTCGAACTTATGACAAATACTTAGGCAAAGCTCATTTTCGTCCATTTTTCTCCATTTTTTCGTATGGAGCTAATGCCAAATACTTTGTCGGAGTTCAAAATTCCTAATTTCATGAGTTATAAATCATAATTTTGTCCATTTTCATTTGCTTCGACACAACGACAAATAATTTCGTTAAGTTCAAAATTCTTTATAAGCAATAATCGATGATTTTTTTCTATTTTTGTTTGTTTCGATCAAAAGCAAATAATTGATAGGAATTTAAAATTCATGATTTTCATTATCTATAATCTAGGATTTTCATTCATTTTAGTTTGCTTCAACCAAATGACAAATAATTATATGGAGTTCAAATTCACATAATCTATGACCTCTATAACCAATAATTTTTGTCTATTTTATTCATCTCGACCCCAATGACAATTAATAAAGCTAAGTTTAAATTTCACCATTTCATAAGCTATTAGCCACGAAATTTGATCTTTTTTTTTGTTGTTTTCTACCCAATGACAAACAAATTGGTAGAATTTAAAATTCACAATTTTATGAGCTATAACTCATATTTTTCATTTATCTTTCATTCATTTCAACCCAATATAAATGATTATTTAGATCAAAAAATTCATCTTTTTACGAGCTATGACACATGATTTTTATTCATTTTTGTTTGTTTTTACCAAAAAACAATTATGTAATTGGCGTACAAATTTCATAATTTCATGAGCTACGAGCTAAGATTTTTTTTCATTTTTATTCGTATCAAACCAATGGTATGGCAAAGTCCACGATTCATGATTTCATAACCTATAATCCATAATTTTATGCATTTTGTTCGTTTTAGCCCAACAACAATTTATTCAATGAAGTTAACATTTCATGATTCATGCAGTGAGACACAAATTTGTCTAATTTTATTCGTTTTGACCCAATAATAAATAATTTTGCATAGCTCAAAACCAACGATTACGTGAGCTAAATGCTACAATTTTTAGTCCATTTTTGTTTGTATTGAACTTATGTCAAATACTTTGGTAGAGTTTAAAATTTCTGATTGCATGAACTATAATCCATGACTTTAATCCATTTCATCTGTTTCGACCAACATCAAATAATTTGCAAAGTTAACAATTCAATATTTTATGAGCAATAACACATAACTTTTGTCCATTTTTGTTCGTTTCGACTAAATAACAAAAATTTAATCGGAGTTCAAAATCACAATTTCCATGAGCAATAACCCACAAAATTTTTATTTTAGTTTATTTTGACTAGATGACAAATGATTTTGTAGAGTTCAAAATTCACAATTTTCATGAGTAATTTGCGATTTTTTTAATATTTGTTCGATCCGACCAAATGGAAAATAATTGTCCAGAGTTCATAGTTCACAATTTCATGTGCAATAATCCATGATCTTTGTCCATTTTTGTTTGTTTCTACTCATTGACAGATGCTTTTGTAGATATCAAAATTGACGAGTTCATGAGCTATAACTTATTATTTTTGTCTGTTTGCATTCATTTCCACCCAATATGAATAAAATAAGCGAACTTCAATTTTCATAATTTTATGAGTTATAAGTCACGATTTTGTCCATTTTTTCTTCATATGGACCCAATGGCAAATAATTATGCCATGTTCAAAATTCACGAATTCATGGGATGTAAGTCACGATTTCTATCTATTTTTGCTCATTTCGACCCAATAGCAAATTATTTTGCAGAGGTCAAATTTCACTATTTGATGACTTGAAACCATTGATTTTTTTAGGAACGAAAACTTACTTATTATTGGATGGAAACAGCAAAATTTGAAAAAGAAACGTGGGTTGCAGCCTATGAACATTTTAAATTTTGAAGTATGTCAATTAATTGGCATTGCGTCAAAATAGATGAAAATGGATAAAATTATACGTTATAACTCATGAAAATCATAAATTCTAAGGAAAGAAAATTTCATTAGCATTAGGTAGAAGTTGCCAAAATGAAAAAAAAAAGGATTAGTAGTCCATGAAAATTTATAAAATTTTGATGTATGCCAATTTGTTATCATTGGGTGGAAACAGATAAATGGAAAAAGAAACGTTGGTTATACCCTATGAAAATCATAAATTTGAGGAAAGAAAACTTTATTGGCATTGGTCATTCCTACAAAAAATGGACAAATATTACGAACTAATAATCCATGAAAATTATAACTTTTACATAATGCTAATTTATTGTCCTTGGGTCAAAACATATGAAAATGGAAAGTAACTATAAGTCGTGAATTTAGAGGGAAAAAAACTTAATTTTCAATGGTTCAAAATAAAAAACAAAAAAAAACCATGTTTTATAGCCATTAAAATAGAGAGTTTTGAAGTACTACAATTATTTTTCATTGTATCGAATCCTATGAAAATCATGAATTTGACAAAAGAAAAAAGTAACTGACATTGGGTTGAAATGGCTGAAAATAAGCAAAAATTATGAGTTATGGCCATAAAAAATGAAGAATTTTGAAAAATGCCAATTATTTGTCATAAAGTTTAATAAGGTGAGAATAAAAATAATTGTAGATGAAAAATCAAGAATATTGAGGAAATAAAACTTAATTATCATTGAGTCAAAACAACCAAAACTGGACAAAAATTGTGAGTTATAAACTATTAATTTTAAAATATGTTAATTTAATTATCATTTGCTCGAAACTGATGAAATGGATAAAATTATAAGTTATGACTTATGAGAGTCATAAATTTTAAGGAAGGAAGAAGACTTCATCGCTATTGGGTCCAAACGATAGATAATGAACAAAAATTGTGAATTACATAGTTCATAAAAATTGTAAATTTTGAAGTATGTCAACTTATTCTGATTGAGTCGAGATAAATAAAAATGAATAAAAATTATGGGTTATAGTCCACGAAAATCATGAATTTAGAAGAATAAAAACTTAATTTGTCAGTAGTTCAAAACAAAAAAATAAATAAAAATCAGGGCTTATATAGCCCATAAAAACGAAGAATTTCAAAGTATGCTAGTTATTTGCCAGTGGGTCAAAATAGATAAAAAAAATGGACACACTTCTGGGTTAGATGCCATGAAAACTCGTGAATTTTGAGGCAAGAAAACTTAATTTTCAACGAGTTAAAACGGTTGAAATTGGACAAAATTCATGGGTTATATATAGCCCATGAAAATAGATAATTTGAAGTATATCAATTATATGTCATTGGGTTGAAATAGACAAAATAGAAAAAGTGTAGGTTACAACTTATGAAAATCGTGAATTTGATGAAATGAATCTTAATTGTCTTTGGGACGAAACTGAAAGTGGACCAAAAACATGGATTAGCTCATGAAAACAGCAAATTTAGAGGTATGCCAATTTTTTGCCATTAGGTCAAAAGAGATGAAAATGGACCAAATTATGTGTTATACACCATGAAAATTATAAATTTTACAGAAACAAAAATTAATTGTCATCAGGTCAAAATAACCAAAAATAAAACAATTTGTGGCTTAGAATTCCTTATTCAACATGATAACAATATAATTTATCATTTAATAGCACTCCAAAACCAAATTGATGATTCAAACCATCAAAATCTGAGATCTCACACCGAAAATTTCATCACATGATTCAAAAAAAAATCATAAAATTTTTCATAAACATCTTCAAAACTTTAACTAAACAACTAGTATTTTGACAGATTTATAAAACTTCACTACAAGAAAGAACTACTGTTTAGTAAAGAAGAATTATAATCATAACAAATAAGTTTCTACAAGAACTATATTCTTTTCTTTCTTTTTTCTTTCTTTTTTGAAGGAAGGAACTAAAAGATATTTCTAAACCAATTAAAAGTAATAACATGATACTTCATCTATGTATAAATAAACTACAAGAAAATGATTATTAAAATCAAGATTATTGTGTGCTGGCCACCTTTTCATTTTATTACTTCCTCTTTTTTGGGGTAAATTACACTTAGATATTTTACTTTGTACCCGATATTGAACATAAATTCACTCACTTGGAAAACCTTCACTTAAATTCCAAATGTTTCGCGTTGATTCCCTCCGTTAGTTGTTGAAAGACCCCCCTCCTGATTGCCACATGGAATTATTTGCCCTTAGAGTTTCTCTACTTTACAATAAACATTGGGTAGAAGAAATATATAGGGGGCATATATGTCATTTAAAGGAATTTTCTAACACTGTTTGAACTCTTTAACGAAAGAATCTCTAGGGTATTTAAGTGAAGGATTTTAAAAGTGAGAGTATTTATGTGCAACATTGGGTAAACAATAAGATATTTAAGTGTAATTTACCCTTTTTTTATAGGCCTAGTTTCTTACCCTTTCTTCCGCATATATTCATATGGTCGTTTACAAAGAACCACCCTAAATCAGAGCTCATTTCACATTATCATCCTTAATTATCCGACTTCCAAATACCACCAACCTATTCTCACTTCCATCAAACATTCCATCCAAAAAAGTGTTGCCTGACAGATTTGCTCATGCACATGATGCTAAACATTTGCCTACAAAAAGAGTGTAAATAAGGAAGGAATTTCAAGTAACTTAGTTTTTCATTAATATTATATGAGAAACTAGACAAAACTATTTTGCTTGTTTTTCGGTGCATGTCCAGCAAGATGCATAATTGATTTCTTATTAATATCAATGAAGAAATTTGACAAGCATAATATGATTTTTGAAACTTGAGTAATTAAAGAATAATAACATGAAATTGGATCTAATTTATAGTTGGTTCCCTGTAAAAGAAAACCCGTGTTCATAAACTCTTCCACAACAAGTTTATTTTGATGTAAAACATAAGATATTAAGACAAACCTTTCAATAATTCAGAAGATCTTTCTCAAAAATCGCGTCTGTGAAATATACACGAAGAGGAACTCCAATAATTCGTATGACTTAATTCAATGTAGGAACTCACAAATTAAAGAAAATGGCCGCACCTCAGAGAAAATTAGGTAAAAATATCGTACGAGATGTCCCCTAAAATGATAATAAATTACATTGTGAAATAACTAGTTCTGACTTTAAATATATTTATTTTTTGGGCAAATTATATGGAACCCCGAAAAATTTTAGTCCATTTTGTGATAAGCCCAAAAGTTTGGACGTGCATTTTAACCCCAAACTTTTTCAGATAACCTCAACATAGTTGGGTGTTATCTGCAAATAGGTTCATAAAATTGCAAACGTTTTTAGGCTAAAGGTGGCATTCCCAAACTTTTGGGGTTATCTCGAAAATGGGCTAAACTTTTTAAGGGCTTCGTGGAATTTACCCTTAACTTCCAAACTTGGATTTTAAGCACGCAACTTTTTTGCATTTCTTAAAACACAAGTATAGCAATCAATTATATATTTTACTATAAATGCTAAAAATAAGTTTACCTCAAATAATGTCAAGTACATATATACTCACCTTCATTCTTTCTGGAGTTTTTTTCTTTTGCTTCAACAATCTTCATTGCTCGTAAGGCACACTCCATACTGCGGAACAAGTTCTCTTCCAGAATCAGCACTCAGGTTCCATTTCAGACGCTTCTTCTTATAGCAGGATACTCAAGTATTCTAATGTTTAAACTCAGTTTGAGACATAATCGTCACAAACAAAATCATTGCATTATACGCAGAATGGATGGTGAAAGGAGCAGCCAGATTCCCAGTCCAACAATAAGCAGACCCAAGAACACAGCCAATGAGGAAGAGTTGAAGAAAATTCTCAACTGAAAAGTGAGCTACACTGAAAACGCAGGAGCTAATAATAACAGCTTGCCACCATTTTGTGGTCGATGCAAGAGATCTTAGAAGAAATCCTCGATAAACGACTTCTTCCAGTAGTGGTGAAATGAGGCAATAGAGAGAGAAGCATGCTGTTCTAGAGATGGGGCTGTAAGAAAGTATATCCTTCAAAATGGGATTATTCACATCCTGCAAAGAATAACATGGAAATTTAACTTAGATATAAGAAATTATAATTTTTATCAAAGTAATTAAGTAATCCACTTTGAACAGTGTAGTGTTTAATCAGTGGTTGTGTTCGCAGAGCATCATCTGTGACTGCATAGTAAATCTTTTGTTCTCGCTTATTTTACCAGTCAATAGGGTACATTCAACAAAACCCACCATGGGTTTGGGCATTTTCAACAACCCCTGAACTTTATAAATCATGGAAAACCCACATGACACATCCAAAATTATACAACCCCCCCCCCCCCCCAAAAAAAAAAAAACAAAAAACAAAAAAACAAAGAAACTAATGCAAATTCTCATAAATGACATTAGGCAAATAGAGGTAAAAACTCTAACTGCTCTTTTACTTTAACCTATCTCACACGAAAAGGATACCGTAAAGTACATTTATGGATGTCGGGGTAGAATCATCCAAATTGTCAGGTAACTAACTGCCATAATGTTATAAACGCTAAGGGGTTATATCCATGTATGTATGTATGTATGTATGTATATGCATATGCATATGTGTGTGTGTGGTGTGTGTATATATATATATATATATTATAAGTATAATATATATATATATAGAATAATGGAGGTGAGCTGGCAGCTCACCTCCCCCGTGCGCTGCAAGTGTATGACATGTGAGCCCCCTACTAGTCACATCGTGTGGGGCTCACATGTCATACACTTACGCTCATGGGGAGAGTGAGCTGTCAGCTCACCTCCATTATTCTCATATATATATATAGAGAGAGAGAGATATATTAATGGGTATCCTTGTACATAGGAGGAGATTTCCTTTCTTGTCGCCTATGTGCACAATCCCCACATCCGTCATAAAGTAGGCACAAATCCCCACCCAACTCACACTCTCTCTCCTACTTTATGAGGATGGTAGGATGTACGCCACATAAGCTGTCAAGGAGGAAATCCCTCCTATGACAAGGATATCACTACATATATATCATATATATATATATATATATATATATATATATATATATAATATATATATAATATATATATTATAATATATATATATTATATATTATATTATAGTGTGTGCTGTGTGTGTGTGAAGGGTTAGTGAAATGTATGCCATCCAATATTTGGATTTAGTTGTATAAAGCTAAGGGTTTATTTGAAAAGTTTCAAAATAAAGGAATTGGCTAGTGGGTCATCATACAGAAAGAAATATAGCCAAAATGATATTACTATTTCAAAGAATTTGTACAAACCTTAGGACCAACAAACCTGTCAGCGAGAGTAGACGTGAGCAAAACCAACCCAACCAGAAAACCAATTCCCAAAGCAGATGCATTTATCCAGTTCCTTTGTTTTGAATTCGGCATTCTGCTGATAAATTTGAAAAATGTATATTGTGGCTTTGCAGAGTAGTAGAAGAGTGCTAAAGCCGCAGCTGTTTCTGTGGTTTGCAGTATGACTGCTGATACAGCCTGGATTCACTAAGTGATGTAAGGATCAAATAACTATTGAGTTGGTTATAATCATAGATTCAGTAACATCAGGTAGAATGTATGTGCATGTAATTTTTCAACATCAAGTGGCTTCTCTCTATATCTTTTAAGCATGTCAACGAGTGTGTAATCCTATTGAGCTGACAGGTCCAGGCTGAGTCATTAACAAGACTGTATGAAATCTACACTAAATCTATGTAGCACGGACACGGATCCGACACGGCCATCCGACACGCCGACATGAGGCAAATCCTAAAAAATACATAGGATATGTGTGTTTGACACGTGTGTCCGACACGGATACGACACGACACGGCTTCATGTTATGCGTGTCCGTGCTTCATAGCACTAAATACGTTCAAAGGATCAAAGTACAGAAGAGATACGCCGTCACTTAAGAAAACAGTAATATTAATTAGATTTCATATGAAAATTGACATAGCAAACGTAAAGAGCTTCTGTTTAAACGCAAGCCCAAAAGTTTGTCGGACAAAAGTTTTCTGGTATGGAAGAAAGGCAGCATCTATTGGTAACACATTGCAGATCCCATACTAAACTTAGCAACTGAAAATATAGGAAGATCTCCTCATGAAAAAACGTTTCCATCGTTGTCCGACACAATGTGCATGTCAACCATATCCAACTTTGCTTGGGTAAAGTTGGATATGATAAAATGTGTGAAATTCTTGAAAATGGACCATGGTTTTTTGGGTCTAGGCCTTTTCTATTAAAACCTTAAAACGTTTCCATCGTTGTCCGACACAATGTGCATGTCAACCATATCCAACTTTGCTTGGGTAAAGTTGGATATGATAAAATGTGTGAAATTCTTGAAAATGGACCATGGTTTTTTGGGTCTAGGCCTTTTCTATTAAAACCTTGGTCTATTGATGATGATATTGATAAGATAAAGGATTGTATATATCCTATGTGGATCCAATTGCCAGGTTTAAGATTGAATTTGTGGAATGCAAATGCAATTAGTAAAATTGTCAGTGTTGTGGGTAGACCTATTACTACTGACAAACTTACTGCAACTAAGCAAAGGTTAGCTTATGCAAGGGTCCTTGTTGAAGTGACCTTACCTTCCTCCCTCCCTGACCAAATCTCTATACAGGGGCCAAATGGTAAACAAATATCCCAAAAGGTGATTTATGAATTGAAGCCTAGATGGTGTGAAATTTGCAACCAAGTGGGGCATGATTCCAGCTACTGTAAGAGAAAATCTAGGACTCAAAGATGGGTTCCTAAGGCTGCTGCACCTGTAAATCTGAATCAGAAGGTTGTTGCCCAGAATAATAAGATCAATGCAGATCTAAGGTCAGCTTCTGGGGTTGATGGAAATAAATTTTCTGGAACTTCTAGTTATGATGGTCAAAATAAGGTACCTGTTTTGGATGTTGAAAATATGGGTATCAGCAGTGACAATCTATCTCAAGAACCTAGTCAGCATCAAGAATCTGATCATGAGACAAATCTTTCAAAAGGAAAAGGTAGATTACAGGTTGATTCTGGAAATAACAAGGAAAATGTAGAGCTCAGGACTGTGCATGTTGTGCACGTTTCTGGTTCTAATGTGGATCATGTAAGTTCTGACATTGCTAAAAATCCTTGGTCCTTTGTTCAAGGAAATGGTTCTAAAAAGACAGTTCCTCATGCAAATTCTTTCACTCTTCTGCGCAACATTGAATTTGATCCCTCTACAATAGATAGAGGAGGAATTCCCAAATGAACCTATCCTTTTGGAATATAAGAGGATTAAACAAATCCTCTAAGCAACGATTGGTTAAGCATCTTTTGTTGCAATATCATCTTTCTTTTCTTGCTCTACTTGAAACTAAAGTCAAGGATACGAAATTGTCTATTACAGCAAAGAAAATTGAGAATAACTGGCAGTGGGTATCTAATGTGGGTAATTCAGGAAAAGCTAGAATCCTGGTTATGTGGGATCCCTGCATTTTGGATGTCAAAGTTGTTAAGATTTCTGATCAGCATATATCTTGCTCAGTAAAATCTATCGATGGTAAATTTGATTGTTTCATCTCATCTATATATGGCTTCAATCATTTGGAGGCTAGACAAGATTTGTGGCTTGATCTCTGTCATCTTCATCAAATTTTGGGAAATTCTCCTTGGCTACTGTGTGGAGATTTTAATACAATGATTACCAATGATGAAAAGCTAGGTGGAGTTGCTTTAACTGCAGCTGATACATGTGATTTTAACTCCTTCATTGAAGACTGTCAGCTCAGTCATCTGAAAACTCTGGGTTGCTTCTATACTTGGAGTAATAAACAGGAATCAGATTCAAGAATTTGGTGTAGACTTGACAGGGCTCTGGTGAATAGCTCATGGATCAATTTATATAATTCCAGCCATGTTGAATTTTTGCAGCCAGGGTTATCTGATCATTCTCCTGCTTTTGTTTCAATCTATGATGATTGTGTTCAAGGGAAAAAGCCTTTTAAGTTTTTTAAAATGTGGACAAAGCACCCTAACTTCATTCCTATAGTTTCAAAAGCCTGGCAGTCTTCTGTTGAGGGTTACAAGATGTACTCTGTTAGCACAAAACTCAAGTTGCTTAAGAGTAATCTGAAGGAGTTAAATAAGAAACATTTCTACAATATCTCTGAGCAAGTTCAAAGAGCCAGAGTAGCACTTGAAGAAGTTCAGAGAAACCTTCATGCAGATCCTTTCAATTCTTCTCTCATAATTCAGGAAAAGGTCTTTCTATCATCTTATAAGAGATTATTAGACTGTGAAATATCATTTTACCAACAGAAGGCCAGAATAGCCTGGAGTTTACAGGGTGATAGGGGTTCCAGGTTTTTTCATGCTATTGCAAAAAGCAACAAGCACAACAATAGAGTGATGGTTCTGCATAATGCCAATGGAGATAGAATCACTGATGGTGAAGGGATTGTAAATGAATTTATCTCTTTTTATAAGAAGCTTATGGGGTCTGCAGTTGATACTATTCCTCCTGATATGGATATCATAAACTCTGGGCCTATTCTGAATTCAGCTCAAGCCAGGGATTTATCTAGGCCAGTTACTAGGGATGAAATCAAATCAGCTATTTTCTCTATGGCTGAAAACAAAGCTCCAGGTCCTGATGGGTACAATGTTGCTTTTTTCAAGTCTGCATGGACTGTTATTGGAGAAGAAGTCACTGAGGCTATTGAGGAATTCTTCAGTTCTGGAAAACTGCTTGGTATGGTTAATTCCACCTCTATTACACTTATACCTAAGGTTCATTGTCCTAAAACTCCTTCAGATTATAGGCCTATCTCATGTTGCAATAGTCTTTACAAGTTTATTTCGAAAATTATCACCAATAGAATAAAGACTGTTATGGGATTTATTGTTAATGATGCTCAAAGTGCATTTGTAAGTGGTAGACAGATCTCTAGCAATATCAAATTGGCTCATGAACTGGTGAATAGCTACAACAGGAAGCATCTCTCTCCTAGGGTCATGCTTAATATTGACATTAGGAAGGCCTTCGACACCATCAGCTGGTCTTTTCTATCTGATCTCCTTCATGGTCTGGGGTTTCCACAGGTCATGATTGGTTGGATATTGGCTTGTATTACTTCTCCAAGTTATTCTTTATCTCTTAATGGTTCTCTTCATGGCTATTTCAAAGGCAAACGAGGCTTAAGACAAGGAGACCCCCTATCTCCTTATCTGTTTATTCTAGGAATGGAGTATCTTTCAAGGAAGTTGGGGGTTTTAAAGAATGACAGGCTATTTAAGTTCCACCCCAAGTGCAGTCAGCTAAAAATTACTCACCTTATTTTCGCTGATGATCTCCTCCTGTTTGCAAAGGGTGATGTATATTCAGTTCATAAATTGTTTCAATGTGTAAAAGAGTTCAGTGCTGTTTCTGGACTGGAGGCAAATCCAGAAAAATGCTCTGTTTTCTTTGGTGGTATTGATGAATCTGTCAAGTCTTCCATTAACAACTACTTGGGATTCTCTGAAGGTGTTTTACCATTCAAGTATCTGGGAGTTCCTCTCACAACAAAGAAATTATCTCACATGGACTGCAATTCCCTCCTTTCAAAGATCTCAGGGCAATTTCAGAAATGGTTGAATCATGGTTATTTGTCCTATGCTGGTAGATTGCAAATAATAAGGAGTGTTATTCTTGGTGTTCAAATTTTTTGGACATCAAATTATATTCTTCCAGTCAGTGTACTCAAGGAAATGGATGGGTTATGTAGGAGTTTCTTGTGGGGAAAATCAGGTCAGAATCTCAGAATCCCTCTGGTTGCTTGGGAGAGAGTATGCATGGGGAGAAAGAAAGGAGGTCTGGGTATATTTTCAGCCCTTAGTTGGAATACAGCTTCAGCTCTGAAATGTATTTGGGACATTCATGTTAAAAAGGAGTCTCTTTGGATTAAATGGATTCATGGAGTCTATTTAAAGCATGAGGATATCTGGCAAGTCAAAGTTAGATCAGGTGATTCCTGGTTGTGGAAACAATTGTTAAAGGTGAGGGATAAAGCTTTGGTTTTGTATGGTGGGGTGGACAACCTGAAATGTCTGATCAGTTCTTGTTGGAAGGGTGATAAAATAAAGCTATCTGCTCTATATTATGCTGTTCATCCTGCAGCAAATGATGTGATATGGTTCAGGACAGTCTGGGGAGGTCTGAACATCCCTAAAACTTCTTTTGTAAGTTGGCTTGCATTTCAAGATAGACTTCTCACACAGGACAGACTTCATAGGAGAGGAGTCATCAATGCAAACTCCTGTATTCTCTGCTCAAGTGCTGCCAGTGAAACAAGGAACCACCTGTTCTTTGAATGTGTATTTTCGGCTAATGTCTGGAACTGTATCATGAGCTGGTTGGGTTTTAATTGGAGATCTTGCAATTGGTCTCTAATTGTCAATTGGTATGCTTACAGGTTGAAGGGTAGGGGATTAAAGCAACAACTTAAGAAAATGGCTTTGACTACTTCTATATATTT